TCCCCCTTCTTCCAATATTTTAGGGAGTCTCAGTGCCTGTTTACATAAAATGGGCTAGACAATTATTGTAAATGATAACAAGTGGATAATATTTGACCCAAGAATCAGAGTATTTTAACTAGAAGAGACAATATATATAATTCAATGGCTTTAGAACTTTGATTGTTAAAGAATCCTGTTCAGAACTCTTTGAACATGGAGGACCAGTAGATAAAACCATTCAAGGTAGAAATAGTAGCCTGTAGTTACCCTGAAATCATTCTTTGAAACTAAGGCTCCTTAGAGTATGCAGTCTGAAAACCACTGATTCAGTTCATTCCCATTATTTTGGAGATAAGAAAATTGAGGCCCCACCTTTTAAAGTGACTTGTTGAGGGATGCCTGGCTGGTTGTTCTGAGTGCTGAGAAGTAGGTAAAGTTTCCAGGTATGACCTTCCTCAAAGTCCTAGATATTAACCTAATTTGTTTGCTTTGGTTACTTATTTTTCATCCAGACTCTACAACAGCAAAGGTTAAAAAAATCATAATAGTACTAATCCTAACTTTTTGCCTGCAGGGCAGAATTTTAGGAACTTCTGTCCCTTAGAAATTCTTCCCTTCCTGCTCTGTTGGTAGAAAGCCAGGAGCATGTTATAGAGCAAGGCCTAAGTCTGGGTCTGGAATAAGTGTGCCTACATCCCATCCCCTCGGTCACTGAAAAGTCACTTCTGGACTCACGGCGACCCTATGCACAGTGGAACAAGCACAGCCCAGTCCTACACCAGCCCATGAGCAGTTGCAGGTTGGACCGCTGTGATCCTTAGTTTTCAGAAGTAAATCACCTCATCATTTTTCCTAGACTGTCTTGGTGTGGAAATCCCACTGAAATTTTGTTCAGCATTGTAGTGACACCCAAGCTCCCACTAACAGAAGGGTAGTAGCCACACATGAGGTGTATTGACCAGGAATCAAATCCAGGTCTCTGGCACACAAGGCAAGAATTTTACCACTGTCCCCACCATCTGGTCTCTAACTTTGGAGAAGCTGTTTGTTTCTCATTTGGGAAATGTGTCAGCTTCCTAAGATTGTGGTAAAGATCAAATGAGAGAGACTGTTAATGAGCACTAGGTGTGGGCAGAATATGATGACTGCTTCAGTAGTTATGGTTATGGTGTTATGCTGGCAGGGGAGGTGAGGCTGGTATTCTGGCCTGGTATATTGTGGTATGGAGATGGTACTGATATTCTAGGCTGGTGTGTATTGTGCTGGAGAATGATGCTGGTGTTCTGGCCTGGCGTATTTTGATAGCGGTAGGCTGGTGTTCTGGCCAGGCTCATTGTTCAGGCTGTTGGGGTATCGTCCTGCTCCTTTTCAGATGTTTGCTGCCCCCTCCCCTGTCTCAAGCTTTAGCTCTAACATCCACCAAGCTAAGATGGAGAAATGCCCTCCTTTCCACTCAGTAGTGCCAGTCATAAATGTCCATTTATGACTTTTGTTGATCTGGTTTTGAATAAGCATGTACTCACTTGTTCCCCCCCGCCCCCCCCCCCCAACACACACACACACACACACCCGCTCACTGGCGTAAGTCCCAGTGCTGTAGGGGAGGTACAGGAAATGTTTGGTTTGAATGGTGTCATCAGCCTCTCGGTGCCCCCTCCCGTCTGAGTGGCACTGTGCTGTCCTTTAACCAGCCCATCATGTGGCCCTCTTTGACCAGCCTGTTCTATGACCTGAACAGCCCCCTCCCCGCTTTGAGCAACACCTGCTGTTTGTTAACCAGCCCCATGCGCCTTGGCCTACTGTTCTTAGGTTCATTCTCTTACAGGAAGTTTCTTGGTCAGTATCTCCTGTAAACACTCTGGTACTTGCCCAGGTGAGCACAAACATGCTTCTTCCTCATTACAGCTAGAAGACAGACTGTTCCGGGTTTAGGAGCCCCTGCCTGAGCCCCCAGTGGCACGTACCATGTAATGTTAACTACTCAGGGTAAATAAATGACCAGTAGAAGGCTATAGATGCTCTAGTGAAGTGAATATTTTCCTCCAACACCATAACTCAAATGCATCATGGGCTGCCAAAAGAACCAACAGATCCGTGTTGGAAGGAGTGCGGCAGAGTGCTCCTTGGTGGCCAAGATGGCCAAACTTCGTCTCTCTTACTTCGGATATATTGTCAGGAGGGACATGATACCATGTTTAGCAAGGTGGAGGGTCAGAGAAAAAGAGGAAGAACCCCAGCGAGATGGATTGACAAGTGACAGCATCAATGGGCTCAAGCGTGGCAACAATTGTGAGGTTGGCCTTGGATCGGGCAGCATTTCGTTCTGCTGTGCATAAGGTCGCTATGAGTCAGAACCGACTCAATGGCACCTAACAACAAGTGAAGTGAATGCTTAGCTCTTTATTGCAGTTATATAATCGCCAGCAGTCATGCTCACTGAATGAAGGACGTACATGAAGAGACAGCATTCCTCAGAGCTCATGGTGCTCTGTGTAATGTGGGAGCGTGTGCGTATCCCCACACACCTCCGTGGTGTACTCATAGATAAGAGATAACAGGCCTTGAGCTTTTTGTAGCAATAGCTTGGTGGCTAGAAATAGAACATTAAATTTGCTTCGGTAGCTAAAAGCGATTCTTTTCAAGTATTATCTAGAACACTGATTCTCAGAATGCCTCCTGGCACGGGAGCACCAGCTTCAGGGGGACCTTGTTGGACGTAGGAATTCTGGGGCCTCACCCCAAGTGGTTCTAAACTTTGAGAAAGTCTGAGGTCAGCTGACCTAGAAAGTGAGTCCTAATTCATTCCCCAGACCACGTGCCTCAGTAAGGACGATGTAGAGCTAGCCTAATTGGTTAGGTGCAATTCTTGACTCATCTTCCCTCTGAGACTAAGGGTATCTAATTGAGACTACCCAGCTTCATCTATTAGATGTTCTTTACCTACAAGGAAGCCTTATCATTTCAGGATAACAGGTAAGGGAGGGAGTAATGAATACCTTCTTCTAAGCCAGAATGTTGAAAATATTAATGGAAGTATTTAACAGAGCAAATTATGTCGTTGTTTGTTTTTGCATGTGCATTTAAGGAGATGCTTGGCCTCTTTTATTGAGATGCAGGTAGCATAGTGGTTATGAATCGGGCTGCAGACTCCGCAAGGTCAGCAGTTCGAAACTACCAGCTGTTCTGCAGGAGAAAGATGAGACGTTCTGCTCCTGTAAAGATTTACAGCCTCGGAAACCTTGTGCAGGGTCGCTCTGAGTCGGAACCAACTCCACGGCACACAGCCACCACCACCAGTGAATGACAGCAATTTTTGGAATGTTCTTGACACTTGCTGTTGTTGTTGAGTGCCGTCAAGTCGATTCCGACCCATAGCGACCCTGTATAGGGTTTCCAAGGAACAGCTGGTGAACTTGAACCACCGACCTCACAGTTCAAACGGCTTTGCAGTCTCGCGCATTAACCCACAGTGCCACACCAGGACTCCCCATATTATTGCTTTCTGGAAAACCTGTGATCATTTATCTCTGATAGTGAAGTATTGAGATGTTTGTATCATCTTTAGAAAAGGCATCTTTTGCATCTTTGACAATTTGTTAGATGAGAAAGTCAAGTTTAATATTATTGTGTTTATTTTTCCTCATTCATACTACTGGGTGTTTTCCCTTATTGTTCTTTGTAAGTGTTTCGTAAGTAGTATTTCGGAATTGGGGATATCTGTCATTATGTACACTTATCTTGGTGTGGCACTGTGGGTTAATGTGCTGGGCTGCAAAGTCTTTTTGAACCACAAGGTCAGCGATTCAAGCTCACCAGCCACTCCTTGGAATCCCTACGCAGGATTGCTATGAGTCGGAACTGCCTCCATGGTACACCAAGACGACCAACCATGAGAATTGAATGCATACAACCAACCCCTTTCTGTGCTTTCAAGATCTCAAGTATGACATAAAAGAAATTCTCATAGACTCTCATTCTGATCAAGACTAAATTTGAGCTATCCCAGTGTTAGCAATACTGTTGTTGTTAAGTGCCATTGAGTTCGTTCCTGCTCATAGTGACTCTATAGGGTTTTTGAGGAGCAGCTGGTGGATTTGAATTGCCAACCTTGTGGTTTCACAGTCCAGTGCTGATCCTATAGCGATACTAGAAAGTGAAAATGAACTTCAACTCTTAGCACATAGTTTACTGATGTGGTGCTGCAGAAGAGCAATGGATGCAGGGTCAGTGGTTCAAACCCACCAGTTGCTCTTCAGAAACCCTTGCTGTGAGTCAGAAGCATCTTGACAGCACTTACCACCACCCAGTACTCTTCTTACTTAAAAGCTTTCAGTTTCCCAAGGAAATAATTATCAAAGGATATGTGATGTATACTAGGAACTCTGGGATTTGTAGTCAGGAAATCTGAAATTTGATACAGGTCAACTGAACTCTAGTATTTAGGGCAAATTTCTCTTGACCTTTGGGCTTTTAATTTTTGCTTTTGGGTGTTTATCTCTCGGCTGGCAGATGTTGTTTTACATGATGAGTCTTTTATCTTTACTAGAAGCAAAAAAGCTTTTTTTTTTGTTTTTTTTTTAATTAAAAGCATAAAAATGGGAATCAAACTGCCAGTTAAAATTTAAGATACATTTTGCTAATCTAAATTTTGCTAAATTCTGTATGCCATTTAATAATCTTGTAATCTTTGCAGAGGCTGTGTTTAGAATAAAAAGAAACTCTGATAAATTCCAATTAATTACAGAGAGTATTTTTAGGCAACTTATTTAAATTAGAATGTGGATTTCATGATTTTTGTTTTTCAGAGAAGTAATTATTGACTCAGATAGAAAAATTGGTTTTCTCAGTATTTTATTTAATTGGCCTGCTGAAAATGCTTATTGTTCAGTGCCGTTTTTACAAACTGGGACATTTACACTGATATTGTCTTATAGGTTTGGTGACTTTCTTCTTTATGGTTTTAAAATGAAAAGTACAATTCTGCTAAACTTGAACTTTTCTCTTACAGCGACCCGTATGTGAAACTTTCATTGTATGTAGCAGATGAGAATAGAGAGCTTGCTTTGGTGCAGACAAAAACAATTAAAAAGGTATGTGTCCATCCATAATTAAACTCAGTTTAAGTCAAAAAAAAATTCTCTATATCTAGTTGTATTATAATGTGTTTTGACTTTGTAAAAGTTTTTGTTATAAGATGTCAATGCGACAAGTTCATGGACAAATGGAATGAAAAGTTAATGGGATTTTTCTACAAACATCTTGAAAGCCCCTTTATATTTTCATTTTAAACAACCTTCTAGTCTTAATTCTGCAAATTCTCTGTTGACCAAAACATTGCCTTATTAACCCAAGATGTTAATGTGGGTTTTAGTTAAATGATGGTAAAAATGCTGTTCACAGAAGAGGAAGTCTTATGACAAGCATTCGTTTTTTGTCTTTCTGCAATGGTTAAAACAAAACCAGGATTTCACCTTGTTGGCCTGTTATTTCCCACAAAATTCAGAAATTGTGAAATAATTTTTCATGAAGGGGATAGCGGGGGAAACTAGTAGACATAAAAGGGATGATTAAACTTGAGACTCCCCATGTGGCGCTGCAGGATCAGCACTGGACTGTGAACCACAAGGTCGGCAGTTCAAACCCACCAGCTGCTCCTCAGAAACTCTTTACACAGGGTCGCTGTGAGTCGAGATCGATTCAACGGCACTGAACAACAACAAACTTGAGACAAATATGAGCAAAGGAAGCAAAATACTTGCTTTACTGTCTGAAAACATAAAATATATTAAAATAAGATACACATGTATGTGCATATCTTTTATAGGTTTTATGTACATGATTTCAGTAAATATGGTTTTCTGTAATTATATGTCAGTGATCTAGCACCATTCCTAATGTGTTTGTAAATAAAATGTTTACCTCATATTTGGTGTGTAGAAGATGCATGTTTTCTATCAGAATATTATTGCTCTCTATCCTTTTGCATTTTATATTCCCCACCACCATATTTGGGGGTTGGCAGACAGGAATGGGTAGTCAGACAAGACACTGTCTGCCAACATTTTCTGAAGAGCATGGTGACTTTAAAAATATCATAATTCTCCTGCTGATGATCAGATGCCGTGTATCTAAGACCGGGTTGTTTTGTGCAAGGTAGAATGATTGCCGTGTGGCCCCCACCTGGCACTGGGTCTGGCATTTTGATTAGTGGGGAGGATTCCTGTGGAGGACCGAGCCATTGTTCCCAGGCTAGGCGCTGTCATCTGTTCGCTATCAGTAGGGAGGGAGACAGCCAGCCTTGCTGGGAAGGCTAGCCGGGGGTCCTGGTTGCCCGATGAACCGGAACAGAAAACTACAGCTTGCGATTTGGGAGATTGCCGTTTATTGTCTCCCAAAGGGAGTTCCTCCTCCGCCTTCCCTTTCCACAGTGGAGGTTGTAGCTCCATAGCTGAGGCTGCTCTTGTTCTGCCAAAGGCAGCCGCCTGCCAGCTTCCTGGTTAGTATTATTTCTGTGCAGTTGTTGGATTTTACGAACCACTTTCATCCTCATCTCTTTGTGGCCATGTGACTGGTCCTTCATTTGTTTTGTGGTCTCCTTCACTAGCCTGTCATCTACCTTTGTCTTTCTGCGTGTATATGAAGCTGGTCTCAGAACTGTGCATCTCAGGTGGTTTCTCTTTCCCTCCCGCCCACCCCCTTCGTTTCCATCCCGACTTCCATTCACATCTCCAATATGAAGCCCTGTTATTTGGGGTTTGGATTCAGTGTTGAGTTGTGGGTGGAGAACATGCTGACTTTTAAATGCCAGTTTAGTGTTGGATGCTTTCTATGCTTTGTATTTTTATGGTGCTTTATGCTAATTTTTTTTTTTTTCTTTTTTAATTTCCTCTGAACTGGTATGTTAAAGGATAATAGGTTGATAAAGCTAAATGTCATTCTGACCAAAAAAGCTCTGTAGCTGCTGGTGAGGTTGGGATTTTTCAATGTCAAATTTAATACAGTTTTAATTTATTAATCATTTTAAAAGATGTGCTATGTAGTATATCAATATGCATGGAGTTTGCATGTACAAACAAGTATCTTTTCTTTCATAGTAGCTGTTTCATCTTAATTGTAAAAGATGGTTGGCAGTATATCTTTTGTCCATGCTGAGGACAAAAGATATATCTATTTATATATTTAAAGGAGCTCTGGTAGCGTAGTGGTTACGAATCGGGCTGTGAACCTTAAGGTCAGTGGTTCGAAACTACCAGCCGCTCTGCGGGAGAAAGAGGAGGCTTTCTACTCCCATAAGGATTTACACCCTCGGAAACCCTGTACAGGGTCGCTATGGGTCGGAACCCACTCGACGGCACTTAACAACAACAACAATTTATATATTTAAATAGATTTATAAAGACATGGATGGATGGGTGTATAGAGAAAAGTTTGAAAATTAAGTAAACAATTTTGACCAAGTTAGCAGGAAAAAAAAATCCCTTTATTACTATTTGATTATCCAAGTTGTTCTTCATGAAATGTTCTTCAGATTTCAGTGTTTGTCTAAATAATGACCAGTTTCATCCTTCCCCCACCTACTCTATTGCTATTCAAAACAGATCCCTAAGGAGTTAGAGGGAAGTTGACAAAGTTCACTTCCTTCTTGATAGAATAACATATCACTGTTCATTTCTTGAAGGATATTTTTATATTTGCATGATGATCCCTCTGTAGGTTCCTGATGTTTTTTTTCCCATCTGGTGATGCCTGCAATTTATGGTTTCTTATCTGTTTGTGAATCATCTGTTTCATAAACACACGCCCTCCCTATCTAGGATTGTTTACGGGGCAATATCAAATGGTTGACTAAATATTTCTTTGATGGTCATGTTGGAAATCTCCTAGCTATCTATTTAATCAAGAAAATCGTTAGAGCAAACATGCAGACTCCTAATTGTGCTAGGAATGAACGATTGATGTTGTAAAGCTATAATATTAACAATAAGATTTCCCTTCCAGACGCTGAACCCCAAGTGGAATGAAGAATTTTATTTTAGAGTAAGTTTTTTTTTGTTGTTGCTGTTTTGGTTTCTTTTTTTATTGGTAATTAGATTGATATGTTATTATGATAGATTTATATATAAGGAAAGCTTTTGAAATATTTCAGAGAAATTATTTTTGTAAGAAAAATGGTCAGGTAACATCTCAGTGTGTCCCAAATTTTGAAAGACTATGAGTAAACTAGAAACCTAACCTGTTGGCATTGAGTGGTTGCAACTCATAATGAGTCCACAGGGCAGAGAATTGTCCCAGAGGATTTGACAGGAATCCTAGTGTGGCACTGCAGGATAAAGCAGGGTTGGTTTGAACTGCAAGGTTGACTGTTCAAATTCACTGGCCGCCCTTCAGAAACCCCACACAGGGTCACTGTAAGTCTGACCCGACCCAAAGGCACTTAACGGCAACATACCTTTAAGGAAGCTGCCTGCCACATCGTTTTCTCTCATATCCGCCGGTGGGTTCAAACCGCTGATCTTTCAGTTAGGAACTGAACACTTAACCACTGTACCACCAGAGTTCCTTATACTATGAATAAAAACCCAGAACCTATTGCCATGTTTCTGATTCCAACTCATAGCGAACCTGTTCACAAAATCTGGACTTGTTTTATTTAGAGTTGTTTTTAGGAAGGAAACCAAAGAAAGTTACCCCCTAAACTGCCATTTTTCATCTTTCAATCCAAATTTTCCTTTAAAAAATTAAGATAACATATAATTAAATCAGTTATTCCAAGGACACATGAGGTGTGGATCTTTTTAGACTTAGACTAAAACAGTAGAGGCAGCTTGAGTCAAAAAGAATTGTTAAAAATCACCAATTATATTCCAATTAGCAAAGATATATATATATATATATATTTAATTCACATGTATGTGTGTACTACATCTGTTTAAATATTCCAGACTTAGATAAGATTTTCTTAAGCTTTTATATTTTTAATGTCTAGAACAGCTCTATGTAGAAACTATGGAATTCTGAAAATTAACGATGAGGTTTTGCTTAGTGAATTTCTATGGTTGTTGATTTCTAAAATTTATTTATTTATGTGCTAAATTTTTAGAAATAGTTAACTGATTAGCTATTTAATTGAAAGAAAGGACTTGCTAGTTTTCTCCACCCCAGATGAAAAAAAAAAATACTTCCCTTGTCTGCTGTGACTCTGGAAATGCTGCCAGTTAGGCTTTCTGACCAATGCAGGGTCCCCAGGACCAATACTGCCATTCAGCTGCCATGAATAGTTAGGTTCCGGTTTCTTCCATTCTATTACAGTTGAGGTATATGTGCTCTAAACGTGGATTACTTTACACAATGTCTGCTTTCTATCACATTCAGAGCTAAAATAGGGCAACGGCGTTTTAATACATTGGTGAAAGCCAAACCCTATAAGTCCTCTATCAGATGCATCTTAAACTACTTCTTTAAAGGACCTGGTGTGGTGATATAAGATTAGCACTGGACTGCTAACCTCAAGGTTGGCAGTTCAAACCTAGCAGCTGTTCCTCAGAAACCCTAAGGAGTCATCTTGAAAGATTATCTCAAAGGATGATCATCACAGAAGCTTTTAATGAAGAAGTTTTAAGATAATTGACAATAGTGTTGTAGAGAAAAAGACCAGAGAAGCTATGAAAGTTGGAACCAACTCAACAGCACTTAACAGCAAAGGACTGAAAAGCAGACCCTTGACCCTTAGTTAACTCTCAAATGGTGTTTCCCATTTGTAAACCCTAGAATTACTTAATATTCCCTTTAGTTTAACACTTTAGCCACAATTATGTAAATTTTAGTACATCCAAAATTGTGTTCAGCTTATCTTAGGTATAAACATATTTAAGGTCTGGTTTTATTGGCTCTTTAAAAAAAATAATAAATCATTCCACAAATTTTTATTGAGTGCCTGCTATAAGTCACAGCCTGCTATGACATCGGGGTGTGCTGGTCAGCAAACAGCATAAACTGATAAAGGAGCCCTGGTGTGGCACTGTAGGATAAGTACTGGCCTATTAACCAAAAGGCTAGGTGGTTCAAACCCACCAGCCACTCCCTGGAAACCTTACAGAGGGTCACTGTGAGTCAGAACTGACTCGATGGCACCTAACAACAAGTTGATCGACACCAAGCTGTCCGTCCATAGTGTACTCTAGCACTAGGCAAAGGGCAGACCAAGGAGCCACAAGCACAAGTCATGCTTGCTGCATTGTGACCATCAACTGTGATTCCATTCTATTGTCCACTCTGAAGCAGTGCCAGAAGATATATTTGGCACTTAGGCCTGGTGTCCCTGTAGACCTGCGTTGTATCTTGACAATTGACAACCTCTATAGCCTACCAAAAGCCCACCTGAGTCCTCTCATTCTCTCTGGCGGCCTTATCTCTCACACAGGTGAGCTAGGTTTGTTTCTAGGGCATTCACCAGCCATCCATAAGTAGACTGAATCCTGCAGAGGAGAACAGTGTTCCTCCACAGGGTTTTCAGTGGCTCCGTTTTTTCACAAGTAGATCTCCGGGCCTTTCCTTCAAGGTGCCTCTGGGTAGACTCCTAACTTCCTATCTCTTGGTTTGTACCAACCAGGAACTCCTTCAAGGATTGACTTTGATGTAAATGATAACACCTAGCACTGGGTCTCACATGTGGCTGGTACTTACTAAACAATACTTGAGTCTGAGTGATAAGGGCTGTTTTGCTGAACTTTTGCAAAAGAGAAAAGAAAAAGCAAATCAACCTGGAAAGCCCCATAATTCGAGCATTGTGACGTTGGCACTGTGATGCTCAACGTGGGAACATCTTTTATTTTCTTCTCTCTCTAATGGTCAGAACTTGCCCTTTTTGAAGACAAGCAGACCATACCTAGCCCAGGTCCTGTGGCTGTCCTCCCGATAAGCTTTGGGATGTTGTCCAAATTCCTTACTTCTTCTGGTCTCAGCTCTTCCTCATTTGTAAAATGGGGTTTCATATCATACATAGGATTGCTGTGAGGTTTACACGAGATGATGGATGTTTAATATTTAACAAAGTGTGGTGCTGTAGGATAAACACTTGACACGAGGTTGGTTTGAACCACAAGGTCGGAAGTTCGAATACACCAGCTGCTCCTGAGAAACCCTATACAGAGTCGCTATGAGTCGGAACTGACCTAACAACAACAACAGCAAAAGCAATACTTAATAAGAATACAAGGAGCTGCTACTCCTGCTCTTATGTGTTTACTTATCGTTCTTCAGATCAGTGCTATTAAACCTAACCTATTTCCTCAGGTGTCCTGGTTAAGCATTAGACAGCTAACCAACAGGTTCATAGTTTGAACACAGCAGCTCCATGGAAAAAAGACTTTGCCATTTACTTCTGGAAAGATTATTGTCAAAAGGCACTTCTCTGTCACATGGGGTCACTATGGCATCCACTCACAGCAGATCTTGGTGATGACATGGTTTTGTCTGTAGATGTAGGGTGTCAGTTTATAGAGGAAGTTTGGAAACTGTCAGAAATGAAGCTAAGAGCCTTTGGGGCGGGGGAGGTGGGATAGGTTCAACTATTAGGAATTAAATCATATAGAAATGAAGAATGGGAAATCTGATTTGGTAAAGATAGTCATTCCAGAAGATTATGGTAATCATTCTAATGACTGTTGAGTCAGGTGCATTAGTAAAACCTTGTGTTCTATTTTTCTGTCTCTTATTTCATCCTTTGAATGATTTTCATTCATTTTGAAAATCTGTCTGTGTCCTTTATAGGTAAACCCATCTAATCATAGACTCCTTTTTGAAGTATTTGACGAAAACAGATTGGTAAGTAGATCCTGATCTTTGAACTTTGCTTCTTTTTTGTTTTTAATCGAATTTTTAAAACCTCTTTAAAAGCATTTCATTGATCATACTTCTGATAGTGTATCTGCCCAAAGAGATGATTGTTTTCGTCCCACTATTAGCTTAACAACAATAAACTTTAAGTTCATAATTCTAACAGATGTTTTTGTGCTGCTAGGATAGAGAATGTGTCTGTGTGTGTGTGTTGCTTTCCCAGTAAATGTGAAAGCCACCGTGATAGTATCAAGTCATCTGCTTTAGCTCTAGTGTTGGGAATACAGAACGGTAGGCTAAACTGTAAAGAGGACATGTAAACAAACCTTGCTGTTTTAAAATATAAACCAGACATCCACTGCTATCCTCCACTGAATCGAGAACTTGGTGGCAATTCTCTTTGGGGAAACAAAAATGTAATTAGCAGTAGATGGCAAAAAGTGAATCTATATTTAGCTGGGAAAATTAAGCTGTGTTTTAAAAAGTAGTACCTTCTCAAGGGAGACCCTTAGAAAGTACCTTTAAAGAACCAAAGATATGCCTGAGGCATGCAACAAGGCTAGACTAACTTCCTGACTGACTCAGTGTTTGGGCGTGTGTGTGCATGTGTGTGTGTGTCTATATATACATACACACATGCATGCACACAGTGGTAGTCAAAAAGTTCATCTACCCACAGGCTTGTTCCAAACAAAGTATGTTTAAACATGTCTGCAACTAGTGTATGATTGCAGACAAGTTCTCTCAGAAATCCGCTTTTCTTAGCCTTCAAAAACAGATCCAGTGAAAACAGTGGCTTCCAAGGGGATCTTCCAGGCCAGTGAAATTGGATGCAGAAAGATTAGCTTAGAAGGTTATGGTGACTGTTTTTTGGGGATCCCAAAGGAGTCATTTTGAAAGATTATCTCAAAGGATGGTGATCACAGAGGCTTTTAATGAAGAAGTTTTTACATAATTGAAGACGGCATTGTTGAGAAAAAAAAGACCAGGGAAGTTGCACCAAGGAATTATTTTCCATCCTGACATTGCTCTTTCTTTGAGGGTAGGGGGAGGACTGTCCGATGAAGATTTTGTTGGGAATGTTACCTCATCTACCCTTCAACCCTGATCTGTCCCCTTCAGACTTCTTTTTGTCCTAAAGTCAAAACACATTGAAAGGGAACATGATCTGTGTCCCTCAAGGATTCCAGAACAGCTGTTTGAACATGGTATCAATGGGAATGTGCAGAATTCTTTGGGGAAGGGCTAGAGAAATGGAAACACTGTCTGCAGTAGAGTATAGACCTAGATGGAGGATGTGTTTAGAAACAATAGCTTCACATTTTGATACTTAGTTTATAAATGTTTCTTTGATTTTGTAACAGTAGTTCTTGACTTGGTCTTGTGCATATGCACACATAGACATATACACATGCACCACTCCTATAACTCACATTTCCTTTTTAAAATGAAATTTCAGAAGTAAATCTGACATAAAACATTTTGTCTTAATTAACTAGACTGTATACATTAAGCCTGTGTTTTGGTTATGAAAAGCAACATCGTGTGACTTGTAAGCAGTTTTTCTTCAGTGTGGTATTATAACGTGTTCTGTCTGTTATCTTCAAATTTACCTTCTGGCAGTTATTTATGTTGTTTGGTGGAAGGAGCATTCTCATGGCTCCTCCTTTCAGCAGATTTCAACTGAAGCCTCCAGTTTTTGAATAGCTTTTAGTCTCACAAGTTATTCAATCTGTAGGAGGAACCTTACACAACACCTCGCTTCGCTCCCTGTCCTTGCAGATGTGAGAGCAGAAGGTGAAAACCTCCATAGAATTTCAGCATGTCAGTCATTGCAAACATGGTGCTCCAGCCCTGGAGGGCTCCTATTTCTCAACTCAGTAGCAATGCAAAGCCAGCCAGTGTCCCACATCTTGTATGCTTGAATGTTGTTACGTGGCATCAAGTCAGTTCTGACCCATAGGGAGGGACACTGTGTAGGGTTTCCGAGGAGCGGCTGGTGAGCTTGAACCACCAATCTTGCAGTTCAAACCAACCTGGCAGTTCCGCGCATTAACCCACAGCGCTACACCAAGACTTTCCATATACTTGATATTCACCTCCAAATTAGAAAGCCAGTAGATTTCAGCTTGCCATTCTGATAACTTTTCTATGAAAATATATGGATTCCTGGTGATTTTGCTGCATTAAATATGACATTTTTGTTCCTTGGGTGATATTTAATAATAGCATATTACAACATCAGTCTTCCTTACATGCATGGAGTTGATTTCCTGTTACATTGAAGGATTTTGTTGTCAGTACTCCTTTCACACCCAGCAAAGGCTGTAGGAATTAGACAGCATTTAGTAGTGTAACAAAACGTCCCTGGAGACACAAATGCACCCACAGACTCAATTTTACTCTTTGGTTTATTGAGGATGGTAACGCGAGTCAAATCTGGGGGAAAATTGCCTCTGTGTCAGATGCTTTATTTTTCTTGTCGGATGTTTTAATAATTGATTCATTTCTGCTTTTAAGAGAAATTCACAGTAACCAGAAAAAAAAGACAAAAAAAGACATTTTCCATTTGTATTACCTAAATAAGACTGTTGTTAAGATTACCTTGTCATGAGTCCCAGAATCTGCTTTCAAACTGTGAGTGCAGAACACTAAGAGACCTTGGTAGGATACAAGCTTTATCTGAAAAATCGTGTTGTGTGATGTCTGTACCTAGCTTTGCCCTAAACTATCTGAATGCAGCAACATTGTTGTTGTGGACTCATGCTGGTGTTTTCTTTGTTCTTTGTTGGGTCTTGATCCAGTTAAGACAATAGATGACTGGGACTGGTGCTTGGCAGTTTTAGCATTAAACAAACCAGTTTGCATTTCTCCCACAATGGTCATTTTTTGGCATTGGAAACACATGCCTTTAGAAAATAAGTTTCGGTGTATATAAGTGCAGGGTTAATCCTCCACACCCTTGACTGTTGACAAAGTCATGCTTTGCAAATTTTTAAATAAACTTTTTGTCACTCTTTGCAGCTCAGAAATCCCCCACCCCCTACCCACACCCCATTTTGCCCTGGTTCCTAAATAAACTCCTTTGTTAAATAACTAACGTTTCTGGATCATGAAAAATAGTAAGTTTAAAACAGCATGTTTCCAAGTGAACTTCAAAATTGATGACAGTCTTTTTGAACATGCATTTTTGCTTTTGTTTCTTAACAGATGTAGACAGATTTCATGTTTGTATTTTAACTGTGCAGACGTAGTAAGATTCCACATTTGTATCTTAACTGCGATGGTATAGCTCACTTATTAATAGGAAATTGTCAACTCCAGAGAGCTTATCTTGTGGTGTATGGGATTTAAATGAAAAATCTCAGCCCTACACAAATCACATATACAACTTGTTCAGTTTCCTTTTGTTGTTGTTGTTGGCATTATGGGAGTGTGTGTTTTTGTTCCAACTAGGCTACATTTTTCTGGTGCATCTATGCCTGACAACCTTATTTAACAAGGGGGCTTGAAAAAGTTCATGGGAAAATTCCGTTATCTTTCCATTCTATTTTTCCACAAACTTTTTGAAGCCTCCTCATACATTAGCACACATATACACACACGCACATGTATCTTTTAAATGAAAAATGTCCGCATAGTGGCAGGAGGTGGAATGTTGGCTTGACTGTGTTGTAAGTTGTATCCCTCTCCTCCCCCAACTGCCTATTTTGTTCCTTGTAGATCATGGTCTAATTATTTAGCATTCAAGGGGCACACATTCTGTGGGGTGTGTAATCGTATTTATAGTATGTTTTATTAGTTTGCATTCCATCGTGATAGTGTGGTGATGTCATAAATAACAGAGAGACATAACATCCGACACTGTGAAAGCAATGTCCTACAGCCAAGTGTCTGTCTTGTCATCGAGTGCGGTGGGTGAGGGGGTCGGAGATGGGAACCATGGCTGCGTGTGCTGGTGTGCGAGCCCCCTCACACACGTAGGGAGAGGGAGAGCGTGTGTCAGCACTCTGCTTCGTTGAGAAAAGCGGTGGGCCGTGATTCGATGTGCTGGAGATTTATAGCAGCCTGGCTCGCACTGTTTGCTACCCTGGTCAGCTGTGAGAGCTCCCTGCTGGGGCCAACTCCTGTCTGATGGAAAAGCAGCAGCTGAGAAGGTACGGTTCCATGAGAGTGAGAGTGAGCGAGAGGCGGGAGGGCTGGCTGAGCCCACAGGCTGGCATTGGAGGGGGAGCGCGTGGTCATGTGGTCCTAACCATCCTACCCTCTGTCCCTGGGTGGAGGCGAGTGCCCTGCTCGTAGCCAATCATGCCTGGAATGCCACTGGACACTTGGGTTATTTCTGCTATCTGTCGTGCTCACTTGCGGCCGTGCTAACGGTTTGGCAGATGGGAAACTTTTTCTTGGAGTTGATGTCTCTGGGTTCTGGCTTCTGGCAGGGCTGGGACTGCTGTGGTCGCTCCCCCTCTCCCTCTCTGCCCCCCTGTCCACCATGGCCCATCGCCTTCGGTTTCATTTTGGCTCTGGTCGGAGCAACACAGCCCCCGAATCCGAGATCCTCGACCGGGAGCGGGAAGACGACTTCTTCATGGCGTTCCACACGCTGCCCCGTAGGAGCGGCCCTCACTCGTTTGCCCAAAATGGTGGAGGGAAGTATGGCGGTGGCGGCGGCGGCGTTGGCGGTGGCCTGCAGGGAGGCGTGGGCTCTCTCAAGCGGAGCACGTCCATGTTCATCCCTCAGCTGCTGAACAACATCGAGGCCCGTCCCACCAGGAGCTCGTCCGTGCAGATCTCTCTCCAGCGCAAAGCTGTGAATGGCCACATGGACGACTGTGGGCCTCCCGACTCTCTGGGTGACAGGGAAGACCTGACTGTCCCCATGAGAAGGTGTTCGTCTCAGAGCAGCTCTCAGGACATCTCGGAACGAGAGAGCCCAGAGAGCTCTCCTCCCAGGGCACCGGGGGATTTCGGTCAGCGGGTCAATGGGG